AACATCATTTTTATGCTTCACACGCATAGCAACGGCTGATTATGATTATGAAGCCATCAAACACTTGCCAGTAAATTCAAGCTGAATTTATTAAACATTTTTGACACTTTACATTTGCAAAGTTATTTCTGATTCTTGATTGAATACATCAATATTAATAATCATCATTATTTTATATTCAACATGCACGTGATTAATGTCAATTGTCAACTCCAATACTTTCCGAAAAAAAATTCTCATTCATCAGATTGGTTTGGTTTTTTATTCTGCTTCTTTTCAGCCTTTTGAATTTATGATTATTAAAATTTCAGTCTCGTTCCTTTACAGTATATCTTTTTCACGTTTACCAGTCGTCATGTACTATACCGCACTCATAGAAAAAAAGTAACAAAATGTTTGTAACTTGTATGGAAAATGTTAACAAACAATTCGTTAAAATAGTGTTTACGAACTTATTTGTTAAATTTAACCAAATTATTTGTAAGGTTGAATTGTTAACTATAAAAATTGTTAATTTAACAAACTTTTTGTTAAAATTTTTTTTTACAGAAAAAAATAACAAATTTTCGGTTAATATTAACCAGAAAATTGTTAATTTGGTCACCCATCTTATTTTAAAATGTTTCCGTGGTTGCTTAACTTCTGAATTCCTGTTGATGATCCGCTAGTCCGCTGCTTGTAAACTTTTACTTATAAAATTTGATTCAGAACCAATATAAATAATTCTTTAAAAAATATATCCAAATTTTAAAATTAATTTATGAATAATAAAATAGAAATGTAGGACTTAAAAAAATGAACAAATTTAATTTTTAAATTACGATTTGGTTTGTAAATCATTATTTTCCAAAACAAATTACAAATAAAAACATTGTAACAAATGTTTTGTTAAAATTAACAAATTAATTTGTTAAACAAAATCAACAAAATTCAATTTAAAGCAGTTTTCTCATTAAAAATAACGCAATAAATTAATGGGAATCGTTTGAAATTAATCAAACAAGAGTTTTGAATACAAAAATTAAAATTTAATTAAATCAATTATTAACAAATAAATTTGTTGATTTAACAAACTCAATTGTAAAATTTTTAACAAATAGTTTGGTTGAAATTTTTTTTACCCATGTAAACTTAACCAATAATTTGTTAAACTAGTTTAACAAACATATAACAAATATTATGGTTACTTTTTTTCTATGAGTGCGGATTTTTTCCTCTGTCAACCTTAAGTGGGATAAGAATGAAGAATCAAACCTTTTATAATATTCACCGTGCTTCTTTTGAGACTTTATGTCTTTTAAGTTATGCGAGATAATTTCATATTTTTTGATTATAAAAAATGCTCAAGCTTTTTATATCCTTGGTTGCTTTCCTCTAAATTAAATTCAGACATCAAAGAACCAAAATCGATTCTTGCCTTCTTCGACTTTTTGATGTACGAACACATAAATTGGGTTACTCAAAGAATTTAATGGTCTTTAATGCTGAACAATTGCTATTTTATGCTGAAAGAAAATCGGAAAAATTATTACATTTTTCACCTTCATCAATTTTATTTTGATACGCTTGAGCTGTTGTTGAATTAAGGTCTTTTAAATTCTTATGAAAATGTATATTGAGGTAATCAAAATTTCAAGAGGCAAACACGACTTTGTGCTTACATTTCTAGATTTTCTTTTTTGTAGATTAATGCTTTTATGAAATTTTGAGTGAATTTATATTTTCGTAAGACTTAAAGAAGAGCATTTATTAATTTTGAAGCTTTTTTGTTGCTCTTTCTCTATTTTCAAGTCAAATAAAAACAGTTTCGAAGCCTTTCAACAGCATATGTTTTAATAATCATGTTTTAGGCTTCAATGCATTTTACTAATTTACCAGAATTATGACAACAAAAATTTCCTTACTTTCATAAATCCTTCAGTTGTTTTCAAAATTAATTTTGGGTTATTTTTTATGGGTTTTTTTTAAAAGTATGGTCCTATGTTTCTGGAAGCTTTAAGCGCTTTAATTTTACCCATGAAAGAGAATAAGATTTGTATTGATTAGTTGACTCAAATCGAACTAAACCACATACAAAATTATACTCGGCTTAGTCTTTTGATTTTAACTCATCAATAAATCCTTAACTTAATATTTTGTTGCACAAGTTCTGTTAAAACAACAGCAATTGTTTTGTAATTATACTAGCTAATTTTTGTCGACAGACTGAATATTTGTATAAAAGGGGGCAAAAAACTATGTTACAATAACAAGTTGTGTCAATCAGCCATTTCAATACTCTTTAGATCTTAGAAACAGTGTTGATGTCAACTATTGTTCAAATTTTGACTAGATTATAATGATTTCAGGTTCAGTATAAAACCACCACAGTGAATTAACGGCTCTCGTACAGTAGCGCTCAAAATGATAAGGACAGCAAAATTTTTTTCACATTTTTATTAATTTTGACTCACAGGATTATCTAAATTTGCTGAAATTTGGACCAGTTATACAGTTTTAAACGTCCTTTCATACAATATATACTAATTGTACTTTAATTAAATATTTTTGAAAAAAACGGTAAAAAATCAAAATGGCTGCCGCTCAAAATGATAAGGACAGTAGATTATGTTAAGATTTTATTATATTAAGTAATATTATGGAACTTTTAAGACTTAAAACATTATGTTTGATGAATATTCTTTTAATAAATTTATAATTCACGCTTCTAGATGTAAGACTTCTTACTTAATTTTAGTGTTTAAAAATATGTGAAAATTTTGTCAATTTATGATAAATTGTCGTACAGAAACTTGTTTATTGTTTAGGTTAACTACCAAAAATTATAGATAATTTGATTATTTATCAATTTATGATCAAACATTTAGATAACTGTTAATTAATGTAAATTTTTTTCAAAAATTTTATTTTTTCTTTGCGAAATTTTTGTGAACTTAAGTCGACAATTTGAAAAAAAATTGTTAAATATTCGCAAAACAATGCTTAAATTAGTATATTTCTCTTCCATTTTAATTGTTTAATAACATATATCAAGTAATTGAACCACTTCGAAAGGATAAGTGACTAAGCAATCGTTCTCTTTCAACAACAAGACTTTTTGATATGGCAAAAATGAAAAATGTGTTGGAACCTAAAATAATATGATTTACATAAGTGAAGTTTTAACATAAAATACCTAAATTTGGCTTTTTTAATCGAATAACACTCTATTTTGTATTTTATGAGTGCTAAATTTAACATTTTTACAAAAAAATATTTCTTCATATTTTTTCGTCTTGAGAAGCTCATAGAGAACGATTGCTTAGTCACTTATCCTTTCGAAGTGGTTCAAGTGCTTGATATATGTTATTAAACAATTAAAATGGAAGAGAAATATACTAATTTAATCATTGTTTTGCGAATATTTAACAATTTTTTTTCAAATTGTCGACTAAAGTTCACAAAAATTTCGCAAAGAAAAAATAAAATTTTTGAAAAAAATTTACATTAATTAACAGTTATCTAAATGTTTGATCATAAATTGATAAATAATCAAATTATCTATAATTTTTGGTAGTTAACCTAAACAATAAACAAGTTTCTGTACGACAATTTATCATAAATTGACAAAATTTTCACATATTTTTAAATACTAAAATTAAGTAAGAAGTCTTACATCTAGAAGCGTGAATTATAGATTTATTTAAAGAATATTCATCAAACATAATGTTTTAAGTCTTAAAAGTTCCATAATATTACTTAATATAATAAAATCTTAACATAATCTACTGTCCTTATCATTTTGAGCGGCAGCCATTTTGATTTTTTACCGTTTTTTTCAAAAATATTTAATTAAAGTACAATTAGTATATATTGTATGAAAGGACGTTTAAAACTGTATAACTGGTCCAAATTTCAGCAAATTTAGATAATCCTGTGAGTCAAAATTAATAAAAATGTGAAAAAAATTTTGCTGTCCTTATCATTTTGAGCGCTACTGTATATATTGACTTACTCAATTCTTTTGCTTTACCAATTTTCAGATCCTGCATGATAAATCCTTTTTGCAAACTCTGAACGCAATGAATGTCAGCAATCTCCTGACACCTACTTCACTTTTCATATTTGAGCTTTTGACAAAGTGAATTATTTTGTTTCAACAATATTTTAAAAAATGACAAATAAGCTCATTTGAAATGAATCTGAACATAGTCCACCAAAAGCTCTTTTTAAACAATTTAAGTTAAACAAGAGAATATAAAAATATAGCACATTTAGGAAACTGTAATAAACAGTAGTAGATGAAACTTAAAGAGCTTCAGCACGAGATTATGTTGACTTTAATTTTCAAAGTTTATTTCCTTGACAACCTTTGAAAACTGCTTTATTTTGACAATTCTTTGATTTTAGAAATACTTTGTTTACATTGCTTAATTTCTATGAAAAAAAGGTTAAAGGGATTATCGAAGAAAAAGTTTGAGGCAGTTTCAGCTAACAAACAAAAAAATTAAAGTTTTGTTTACTCAAAATATTTGCACAAAAGAAATGTTTATTTTCTTTGAACGGAACCATCGAGATCTGTTCATGACAATTTACGGATGCTTTCCAATCCTATCAGAAACTGATGAAGCCCGAAAAATTTTCTATAGAAAAGATTCAAATATAATTTTACAAAGCTGATTCTTTTTGGGATTCTAAAGCAATTTGAAAAATTTGATTGATTCTCTTGGATATGAAAAAAAATTTTTTTGTTGCTGTCAAACACGAGATGAGAGATGGATAATAAGAAGTAACTTTTTTTTACTCCATTCAAATTTAAATTTTTGTGCTTCTTAAGCGGAATATGTAAAAATAATATAAATAAGCTTATGCTACGTCGCATACCAAATTAGCACACGACAGTTCTGATTGGCTTTTTTTCCTTTAATTTATGGATCTTTCTTACTACTTGCTACTTGTGCTTCAATTCTAATGTATAAATATCCTCAATAATTGAGCAAAATTTATCAGTTCATCGTTGTGTTTTATGGGAGTCATTAGTAATTTATAGTTTGTTGGCAATAGAACTCTCAAGTGTCAATAATTAAATAATTGTTATTGCTTCTTCCTCCTTATACGTATAATATTTATAATTTTTTTATTTATTTGTCAATTGAACGAATCAAAAATAATAAGGCAATATGAAGTGCATTCTCGGATTTTTAGTGCTTACAGTTGGAATATTTCAAATGATCTCAGGTGGTCCAATTAGAAGTAGTGGGATGGTTTTCTACCAGCCAGAATACTATAATGCACACAGAGCATTTGTAATGCAATATGCAAGTCAACCAGTCAAATCATATCGTAGACAAGGACAAGCATCAGGAGTAAGTGCCTTTGCATCTGGCAAGAAAATCGCGACAGGAACTTATCTCAGACGTAAGTTAGATTTCCTTTCAAAAAATTAAGATAAGAATCATAAAATAATTAATTTTAATAGAAGAAGAAACTGAAGATCCACATGTTGCACATTCAGTAGCTGAAGCTTATCCAGGTGGTCCACCACAACATCATTCTGAGGAAGATAATACTGAAGTATCCCTTGATGAAGATCAATCACCAGAAAATGTCATTCCACAAGAGAATATCGTTCCACCAGAAATCGCTCATGATGATCCCAATGATGAAATTCCAGAAGCACCTATTGCAGTCATTCCAAACAAGAACAAAAAGACACCACCTGTTGCAAATGACGAGGAAGAAGAGGACGAGGAGGAAGAAGAAGAGAAAAATGTTGTTAAACGAACGAAAAATCGCCCAGCTTCAGGAACGACGTATTTCCCCGTTTCATTTGGATCAACAAATGGAGGAGCTATTGCCATTGCAAACAGCTATTCAACAGGTAAAGGTGAGAAAAAAATTGTGATATTAATGGTAGATTTGGAAAAGTTTATCATCCAGTCTGCAAAAAGACTGAACAATTGAGATTTAATTAAACCTAAACTTAAAGCTGGTGCGAATCTAACATTTGAGAATAGTCAATGATAAGATTGAGTGCTTGATATCGAAACAACTTAATTCATAAAGTAATTTTAAGTTTAATTGAGTTTGAGTAAGTAAACAATCCTAAACCATTTGTTTTTGTCTACAAGCTTATCGAATTTGTTTCTGCTTGTTTATAAATGTTTCTATTTCTTGTTTTCCTTCTTTCTTGATTTATGGCTTCAGCACATTATTTTTTGGCATTGAGTTTAAGTCAACTTCAATCTCTGCCCAAGTGTTCAAGATTGGTTTATTTTTTTGAATTAGATGATTCCAATACTTTATTCTGTACTCACTCTTTATGGTTCAAAAAATCATTTCAAGAATATAATTCATGCAAAGATCATAAGTTTATAGTCTACGAAAGCCTTGACAGAAAAAGAATAACCTTTCAAAATTTTTTGAGTTACCCAGACATTGATTATTTTTAACCTCATTTAATTTCAAAAATAATCTATTGCGAGATTATTTGACAAAACAGACAAAAATAATGTTTTGTCAACTTAACCCAGTTATAAATCGCTATCATTCAATTTCATTTCATTTAGGTGGAACCGCCTCATCTCGTGCCACCGCATACGGATCACCAGCAAAATCAAAATCTAAACGACGAAATGAACAGTAAATAAGCATCTACTTGACCCGAGCCGTTAAAAAAATATATATATTCGATGATGATAACTGCCAAAATATGTAAACATGTACATGACACATAAAGGAGGGGGGTTCGGTTAGGTTATCGCCGATCTTCTTCCAAAAAAATTTCTAAATAATTTTAATAAATTTTATTCTGTGTAATAAAATGAGGCAAAGAAAATGACAAAAAAAAATGTTGATAATAAAAAGTAAATGAAAGTGAACTTAATGAAAATTTGGGTCTGTCTGGGTTTTGATTATCATTCATTGTTTTTCTCAAATTAGCACAATCATCATAGAGTGGAGCAATTATTAGATTTTGAAAACAAAAGAAATCTGTTGTCATTATTTCCTTAGAAATTTAATTTCTGTACTGCAATTTTAGATGAATTTTCGCATTGTGCAAATTGTAATCATTTACATAACAGCTACAGTACAATAACATACACTGATTATGTATCAAAGGCCTTGAATTCAAACCTTTTGAGAGTTTAAATGCTCGAATGAATTACATTTTATACCTTATTCTCATTATTCTTGCTAAACGAGATATTCTTCATGCATACAAATATTCTTAACAGATTCTCAGTTACTGATGCTCCTATGAATTTAATTATAATGTCAATAGGTGTATTCTTACTATTAGTGTTTGCCTTTTAGCACATTTATGAGGACGTAGAATCCGTTATGTTAATTTAATTGACTGACTGATTTAATTATTGTTTACAGAACTATTGATTGGTCATCCATCTGTTATGTAATTACTTATCAGTGCTGTAATTTTCAAGTTCTCATTTTGAACTTTCATACCTTGGCTTTTTGAGGTTCTTAATGGAGATTTTTTTTTATAATAGCCACTTAAGCTATCACTGAAACAAAACAAAATTAGAGAACTAATGTGTAGGAAAAAACTTCAATAAGTTTAATGACAGACAAACTGTAATATTAGCCCAAATAGCACAAGTCGGTTAATCGAATAGAAATCCAGCACTAATCGGGTATGATTCTGGTATGGTGTTGACATAAATTTAAATCCAGTTAAATATAAGGTCTGCAGACTAAGAAATTTTAACAATTCCTTTGGATTCATTTTTAATTCACGTCCAGATCACACAGTTTCAGAACCCCTTCTTCTCTATCTCTGCAAAAAAACTTTTTTCATTAATGAACGTTCTAACGAAGTGCGATGTCAAAGACAAAAATTAAGCTAAACTTTTAGTATATGTATGTAGTCAGCACATTTGATATTACTTGTGTTTTCGTTTTATCATACACAGAGACTCAACAAAGGTTTAATTTACGAAAAGATATATAATTTTAGAATGTGGTCGTTTCATTATGATATTAATATGGAAGATTGTTGGTGTTTTATTTGATGAACAATCCTGATTTAATCTTTAAAAATCCCAAGATAAATGCTTACAACGTTGATAAGCAGAAGTTTTTTGACTGAAAAGAATTGGAATGAGTTGTTATCAAAGAGGCACTGAACTTAAATAAATATAAGAAGTTCAGTAAAATGGACATAAAAATACGATTAAATTCTAAATTTGATAATTTTGAACTTTAAGTTTTTGTTCTTTCTTTTTATGCTATAAAACAGATTTTATTTATTGCAACGATTTACGCATCAGGTTTTGCAGTTCACATGTATTAATAGGAGAAAAAGAAATAAAAGAAAACTTGTTTGTGCTGACAGTACAGTTCTTGTTTTCTTTTATATTCTTTTAATGCCCAACAACGATATTTCTTCTCTATCTTCCCAGATAATCCGCACTAAAATAATACGTTTTTAATCTTCCTTACAATTGTTAATAATAGTGTGAATTAGTATTCTTAAAACAATTGATTTTTATGTCTTTTGTGATACCAAATTCAAAAGTATTTTACAAGTCAATATGATACTTGATCGCTTGGATAATTTTGGGATTCTTTAAAAAACAAATAACTTGAATTATCTTCGTACCTTGTCAAGTTTTATCTTCTCGTGTGTCTTCTGAGAAGTCAAACAAAATCTGTGTGATTTCCTAAATTCTGATTAAATTTTTATTTATGGAAAAATTCCGACCATGTTTGAAAGAACTTCTTAAGAAGCTTAGCTATTTATTTTTATAGCAATAAGAACAATATTGATATTAAAACATAAACTGAGCATTTTAATAAATTGCAATTAGCACAGCTTAAAGTCGATTTTGAACTTAAATGAACTAACAAAGTCGAGGTAAATAGATATCGAAGTGACTTAATAGTTAAACAGGATTATTAACCAGATTACTCACAAGGGTGGTTTTCTCGGTATTAACAATAGGGTAAGGTGTAGGTTTCGTCCCAGCAGTTTACCAAAGATTTCGACTAATTTTATTTGAATCAGGTTTAAAATTTGTAAAAAATAAAGAAAAGAAGTTAACGACCCAAACAAAATATTCGTATTCTTGAATTGACTTGTAAACATATGCATATCCATTTCACATTAAAATTTCACTCCCGTTGTTAAATTTACAGTTTTAATAAACTCATGTTTTATTTAACGTTGATACTTTTCTTGACCTATTCAATCTATAAATCACCAACATTTAATTAAGCCATTAATTAACAATGACTTTAATTTTCATTCCAAAAAATCATCTAACATTTGAAATATACTAGCTTATCACAAAAATATCAGCATTTTTTTAACTTTAATTCTCTAAAATAGTTCACAATTGAAAAGAGACATGCTCATCAATAAAATTAAATTAAACGTAGTAAATAGATCGAATCATTTCTGAAATTCCCAACAAACATCATCATAATATGATACAAATATTAATCATTGATTAAAAGCGGAAAAATTTCGAAAAGGGAATTACATGCCGCTAATCATACTGATTATCACAATCAGACAATTCGAACGAAATCAAAATAGGAATCACAGATTGTTTCCCACATCGTCATAGTTGATTTGAATACCTAATCGAGGTTTCTAAAGATTTGCACTATTTATGATACTTTCTTTATTCGCTTCCTATTTGTTTATCATGATATCTTGACTCTATTACAGATGCGTATATCTTTCTGTTACTTTTTAGTCCCATTTCGTGGAATCGAATATTATTAAAAATATAATTTACATATAAAACCACTATTTCTGTAATTCTCATAGGATTTGGGGAATACCAGCAACAAAACTTTATGATGAGTGTTTAGATTTCTTTGTGTTTACATAGTATGTTGCATCAGAAATACTTATTTTTTTAATGTTTAAATTTATCTATTAGAGAATTTTACCTGGCTTAAGTGAATTACTTTGTATACATTCTTCATCTTTAACTGGTTATTTTTTTAACCTCCTTTTGTGTGTGTATGTGGAATATCTGTCGACGTTGAATGTTTTAACTTACACATCCATATTATTAACAAAAGCCTCTCTCCTTATCAAGTTCCATGTATATTATTGTTGTTATTTTTTGTTTTTGATGTATTTTTTTTTTTACTTAAAACTTGATTGTTGTAGTTTGTCTTGTTTTTTCCACAAAGCATCAATTTTCAAAGCAACGCTAGAGCATAAAAGTGCCGGGAGATTCACTCGATCAATTCAGTTTGATTCAAAGCTTGTTTGAGACACTTCAATTTATTATTTCGTTAAAACTAAGTTCAAAAATGAAACTCTTCATTGTACTTTTTGCCATAATTGCCGCTACTGTTGCCGCTCCGCAATTCTTCCCAGGTGGTGGATTCAGCGGTGGTGCTGCTAATGCAGCAGCTGGCTCACAAACATTCAAGTAAGTTTCGACATTTAATGTGTTAATTATATTCAGTGTGAAACAAAATTTAAGCCAACAACAAGAGTCATAAAAAGACCTTAGACATTTGTGTATACATAAGAAATTTTGTAGCAGATTATGTAGTCATTAACTTAAGTGTTTATCAAGAACTTAAAAGTAACAATAATAAAAAATAAGTTGTTTCCATAACAAGTTTGTTGACCGGAGAGTTGATAAACCTGATTTTATTATTGTTATTTTTTATATCAAACCAGACCAAACATCTTTAAGGGGAAGTTCAAGGAAACGAAAAGAAAGTTTATACGTGCTATAGCTTTGTATATAAATCTTCTTTTTGAGTCCTATATAATGAACTAAATTTGATTAGATAGGCTCAATAATTTAAATTCGAATAGAAACTTTTTGAGGGTTATTGGTTATCAGGAAATTAGATTATCATGTAACACGTAATGTGTTTTTGTAAAATTTAATATTAAATTGTTGTTGATCTTGCACTTACATTGAAAATATTCTTAAAGTGTTTATAAGCATCCACCTTTGGTAAAATATTCTTAATCTAAGAAGATGTGACAAGATATCTTCAAATATTTATCAGTTGACGTAATATTCTTTAAATTTGAAATACACGACGTAATTCTTTAATTTTTAATTTTATTTGTTCTTGTTTCTTCCAATAGTTCTGGCGGTCCATTTGGTGGATTCGGTGGGAGTGCAAGTAACGCAGCCGCTGGCTCACAGTCATTCAATGCCGGTGGTCCATTCGGAGGATTCGGGGGATCAGCTTCTAATGCAGCTGCTAGCTCACAATCATTCAATGCAGGAGGTGGATTCCCAGGTGGTTTCGGGGGTGGATTCTCAGGAAGTGCTTCAAACGCTGCTGCTGGAACACAATCATTCGGCGGTTAAATGAATCAAGCTATTCACGTTTAGATCTTATTTATAATATGCAATATATTTTGATATTGTATTTAATAAAAAAAATTGTGATTTTAAAACTTATCCAATTTGTCTTAATTATTAATAGCCTGTCTTATTATGGACATTATAGAATTTCTTGACCAAACATTTTTAAAACATCAACTTTACCGTGTGAGATAAGTACAAATGGATAATGTCGAATGGACATCTGAAACTTTCCCAGTTTTCCGAGAGAAACCGAGATAAAGTTAGAATTTTTCGAGACCTCATAGTTTCTGAGATCTGGAGATGCCCAAACTCGTCTAATATCCATTTGTACTGCTGACAAGACTTGTTCAAAAATCATCCAAATTTTATAAATTATGTATTAAAACAAATCTACTTTTTCCGAGAGAAATGGAGAGCAAAAAATTATTGCAATAAGACTTTTAGATTTTGAGATATGGCACTTCCAATTTTTTTAGACCAGTTTTAAATGTATCTTACATATCAAATTTTTGCGATTAACTTTAATAATACAAATTATACATTAAATTACATCTACCTTTTCCGAGAGAAAGCGAGATGCAAAAATTATTTTAATTTGATCATTCTCTCTCGAGATATAGGTTTTCAAACCTTTCGATGAGTTTAGATTTTGGACACAAATGGTCAACTTTTTGATACACATAGTAATTAAACACATTATATATAAAAAACATGTACTTTTTCCGAGAAGATACGAGAAGTAAAAATATTTTCATTTTGACTAGTAATATTTGAGTTATCAGCATCTAAAGCCAAGAATTTATAAAGAAAAATTCAGGTAAGGAAAAATCGTGAAAATTTATTGAAGAATTCTGAAACTTTATCAGTTTATTGTTTTTTTTTTTCATAAGAAATACGTGTCGCAAAGTTTTTAGCATTTCAACTTTCAATACCTTTTGAAAAACATACTATACTTCATATTTAAAATGCATCTTTATAGAAATATAAGGAAAATAAACTAGTGTATCAGGTAGAAACCCAATGCGGATATATTCACACCGTACCATCAAAAGTCTTATGGATAGACCAAGATTTGCCCACCATAGATTTGAATTTATAAAGCTAGCGAGTCATATCTGCATAAAACAGATTTTAAATTGATAGAGGCATTGCTGAGAAAAAAGCAAAATAGAAAATACGCTTTCTGTAAGAAAGGATGTTTGGCATATTCGTTAAGTTTTATATATATCTATCGGATTTCTACCCGATAAACAAGTCGTAATTAAGGTTAGCATACAAAAAAAAGGTTGTAAATATTGCTTTGAAATCTCAGGAAAAGTTGAAAGACAAAATTCAAGTAAGTTAAAATCTAAATCAATATTATTTTGAGATTGAGGTTTTTTAAAGTTGAAATGCTGAAAACTTTGCGACACGTATTTCTTATGAAAAAAAAAAACAATAAACTGATAAAGTTTCAGAATTCTTCAATAAATTTTCACGATTTTTCCTCACCTGAATTTTTCTTTATAAATTTCCTGGCTTTAGATGCTGATAACTCAAATATTACAAGTCAAAATGAAAATATTTTTACTTCTCGTATCTTCTCGGAAAAAGTACATGTTTTTTATATATAATGTGTTTAATTACTATGTGTATCAAAAAGTTGACCATTTGTGTCCAAAATCTAAACTCATCGAAAGGTTTGAAAACCTATATATCGAGAGAGAATGATCAAATTAAAATAATTTTTGCATCTCGCTTTCTCTCGGAAAAGGTAGATGTAATTTAATGTATAATTTGTATTATTAAAGTTAATCGCAAAAATTTGATATGTAAGATACATTTAAAACTGGTCTAAAAAAATTGGAAGTGCCATATCTCAAAATCTAAAAGTCTTATTGCAATAATTTTTTGCTCTCCATTTCTCTCGGAAATGTAATTTGTTTTAATATATAATTTATAAAATTTGGATGATTTTTGAAAAAGTCTTGTCAGCAGTACAAATGGATATTAGACGAGTTTGGGCATCTCCAGATCTCAGAAACTATGAGGTCTCGAAAAATTCTAACTTCATCTCGGTTTCTCTCGGAAAATTGGGAAAGTTTCAGATGTCCATTCGACATTATCCATTTGTACTTTTCTCACACGGTAAAGTTGATGTTTTAAAAATGTTTGGTCAAGAAATTCTATAATGTCCATAATAAGACAGGCTATTAATAATTAAGACAAATTGGATAAGTTTTAAAATCACAATTTTTTTTATTAAATACAATATCAAAATATATTGCATATTATAAATAAGATCTAAACGTGAATAGCTTGATTTGGAGATGCCCAAACTCGTCTAATATCCATTTGTACTGCTGACAAGACTTGTTCAAAAATCATCCAAATTTTATAAATTATGTATTAAAACAAATCTACTTTTTCCGAGAGAAATGGAGAGCAAAAAATTATTGCAATAAGACTTTTAGATTTTGAGATATGGCACTTCCAATTTTTTTAGACCAGTTTTAAATGTATCTTACATATCAAATTTTTGCGATTAACTTTAATAATACAAATTATACATTAAATTACATCTACCTTTTCCGAGAGAAAGCGAGATGCAAAAATTATTTTAATTTGATCATTCTCTCTCGAGATATAGGTTTTCAAACCTTTCGATGAGTTTAGATTTTGGACACAAATGGTCAACTTTTTGATACACATAGTAATTAAACACATTATATATAAAAAACATGTACTTTTTCCGAGAAGATACGAGAAGTAAAAATATTTTCATTTTGACTAGTAATATTTGAGTTATCAGCATCTAAAGCCAGGAATTTATAAAGAAAAATTCAGGTAAGGAAAAATCGTGAAAATTTATTGAAGAATTCTGAAACTTTATCAGTTTATTGTTTTTTTTTTTCATAAGAAATACGTGTCGCAAAGTTTTTAGCATTTCAACTTTCAATACCTTTTGAAAAACATACTATACTTCATATTTAAAATGCATCTTTATAGAAATATAAGGAAAATAAACTAGTGTATCAGGTAGAAACCCAATGCGGATATATTCACACCGTACCATCAAAAGTCTTATGGATAGACCAAGATTTGCTCACCATAGATTTGAATTTATAAAGCTAGCGAGTCATATCTGCATAAAACAGATTTTAAATTGATAGAGGCATTGCTGAGAAAAAAGCAAAATAGAAAATACGCTTTCTGTAAGAAAGGATGTTTGGCATATTCGTTAAGTTTTATATATATCTATCGGATTTCTACCCGATAAACAAGTCGTAATTAAGGTTAGCATACAAAAAAAAGGTTGTAAATATTGCTTTGAAATCTCAGGAAAAGTTGAAAGACAAAATTCAAGTAAGTTAAAATCTAAATCAATATTATTTTGAGATTGAGATTTTTTAAAATTGAAATGCTGAAAACTTTGCGACACGTATTTCTTATGAAAAAAAAAAACAATAAACTGATAAAGTTTCAGAATTCTTCAATAAATTTTCACGATTTTTCCTCACCTGAATTTTTCTTTATAAATTCCTGGCTTTAGATGCTGATAACTCAAATATTACAAGTCAAAATGAAAATATTTTTACTTCTCGTATCTTCTCGGAAAAAGTACATGTTTTTTATATATAATGTGTTTAATTACTATGTGTATCAAAAAGTTGACCATTTGTGTCCAAAATCTAAACTCATCGAAAGGTTTGAAAACCTATATCTCGAGAGAGAATGATCAAATTAAAATAATTTTTGCATCTCGCTTTCTCTCGGAAAAGGTAGATGTAATTTAATGTATAATTTGTATTATTAAAGTTAATCGCAAAAATTTGATATGTAAGATACATTTAAAACTGGTCTAAAAAAATTGGAAGTGCCATATCTCAAAATCTAAAAGTCTTATTGCAATAATTTTTTGCTCTCCATTTCTCTCGGAAAAAGTAGATTTGTTTTAATATATAATTTATAAAATTTGGATGATTTTTGAAAAAGTCTTGTCAGCAGTACAAATGGATATTAGACGAGTTTGGGCATCTCCAGATCTCAGAAACTATGAGGTCTCGAAAAATTCTAACTTCATCTCGGTTTCTCTCGGAAAACTGGGAAAGTTTCAGATGTCCATTCGACATTATCCATTTGTACTTATCTCACACGGTAAAGTTGATGTTTTAAAAAAGTTTGGTCAAGAAATTCTATAATGTCCATAATAAGACAGGCTATTAATAATTAAGACAAATTGGATAAGTTTTAAAATCACAATTTTTTTTATTAAATACAATATCAAAATATATTGCATATTATAAATAAGATCTAAACGTGAATAGCTTGATTCATTTAACCGCCGAATGATTGTGTTCCAGCAGCAGCGTTTGATACACATAGTAATTAAACATATTATATATAAAAAACATGTACTTTTTCCGAGAAGATACGAGAAGTAAAAATATTTTCATTTTGACTTGTAATATTTGAGTTATCAGCATCTAAAGCCAGGAATTTATAAAGAAAAATTCAGGTAAGGAAAAATCGTGAAAATTTATTGAAGAATTCTGAAACTTTATCAGTTTATTGTTTTTTTTTTCATAAGAAATACGTGTCGCAAAGTTTTTAGCATTTCAACTTTCAATACCTTTTGAAAAACATACTATACTTCATATTTAAAATTCATCTTTAAAGAAATATAAGCAAAATAAACTAGTGTATCAGGTAGAAACCCAATGCGGATATATTCACACCGTACCATCAAAAGTCTTATGGATAGACCAAGATTTGCTCACCATAGATTTGAATTTATAAAGCTAGCGAGTCATATCTGCATAAAACAGATTTTAAATTGATAGAGGCATTGCTGAGAAAAAAGCAAAATAGAAAATACGCTTTCTGTAAGAAAGGATGTTTGGCATATTCGTTAAGTTTTATACCTTCAGACTTATGCTGAGAAAATCTTGGTCTATCGGATTTCTACCCGATAAACAAGTCGTAATTAAGGTTAGCATACAAAAAAAAGTTTGTAAATATTGCTTTGAAATCTCAGGAAAAGTTGAAAGACAAAATTCAAGTAAGTTAAAATCTAAATCAATATTATTTTGAGATTGAGGTTTTTTAAAGTTGAAATGCTGAAA